CAGTTTTACCAATGCAAGGAAACGGCAATGGCAACGAGACCAAACTATCTCGAGGCAAACTTAAATTGAATTGATAACTTATATTCCTTTTCACGACACCATGACTTACTTAGAAAATTTGTCGTAGAAGACAGGGAGGTCGGTTAAGAAAAGAAGGCCCTTCAAGGGTGTCCAGGACGCAACTAGCTTCACCTGCCCTCCCGAAGGACTGTACGGCAGGTAAGTATATACACTACACCTGTGGGTACACTTCCTTTTTATATTTCCTCTTTTATCTACCAAACTGATAGACAGGTTGACAGATATAGATAGATATAGATAAATATAAATAGATGAATAGTTAGAAGGATAGATATATAGACAGATATAGGCACCGACAAATAGACAGACAGACAAATAAAGAGAAAGATGAACGAATTAAAGTAATTAGCATGGAAAGTCCCTATCCTCCACACAAATAAACTGATGTATTGACAGCCGTGTTCCTCATGGTGCTACCATGGCCCCGTAGGTGCTCCTCCTACAAGAATGACCATCGTGTTCATCATGGAGAAGGTCCAATAGTTCTTCAGAAGCTGGTGGAGTTCCTGAAGGGGCAGGCGAGTGACGACCAGGAGCCTCGTGGCCCATTCCAGAAGGCGGCCCCGAAGCGACGACTCGGCGAAGGCCCTCAGGAAGGTAGAATCTTCACTCAGGACTATCACGCTGACACACCATGATGACTTCCGTAGCTGAAAGATTGGCGAATATTTATACACATAAAAATAGACTATACTGTTGTGAAGTTGATATTCTGACCTGACGTCTTGACTCACATATTATCATGTTAATTTTTATTTATGATCTATTCGTACAGCCTTTGGAGTGCTGCCTCATAAACTATTACATCGCATAACATTTTTTTTAAACATTGTAAGTTAGCTGGCTTTCAATACAGATTATTTGGATGTATATAACTAAGCAGGATTTTGAATCTATATAATCGTTCAGAGTTTTCTTTTGTAAGTATGGATACCAAGTACTTTTGGAAATAAACGCGTGTATTAAACATTACACTATATCCTGTTACAAAGAAAGTTCCACTCAGCATTGTAACACTACCGGCCGATGTCCTGACCGGTCGGGATTTATATAAAAGTGGACGTTCCAGAAATCATTAGTTAATTATGGTAATATGAAAAGGAATAGTATAAGTGTTTTTAATACACGATAGTATATAATTTTACTGAACATTTCAAAGCAAATAATAAAAAAAAGAATTCCTCTATTAGAAATTGTTACTGACCTACAAGAAACAAAAAAAAACAAGACATTATTACAACTATCACATGATGTCTATATTTGCCTAATAATTCCTATTCGATATGGAAAACATGTACAAATACATTAGTCCCTATGATATTGACAAAACTTCCTCTACAGCTTGAAAACTCTAGCCAATGTACCCGGAAACAGCCCTTAACACAAGTATTTGCTGGGTCTATTTGCCTATTTCGGTTAGTGTGTGACTGTCCGTTTCCTCACGTGTATTATATATTACACATCAAAGGTATTGTTTGATGTATAATTTTACCTGTTTATTTATTTGTTACTGTCAATGTAATTCTTTTACATAAAGTGACTTAAAAGATCTGCATGGTAAAAAAAAAATTATCGTACAATTTTGTACATTAAATGCATTCAAAATAATCTGATATTTACACCGAACGATCTATTCTGCGAAAAAAAATGTACCACACACTAAACCCGAACAATTTGTATTTCAAACTGAACATGAAATATTACATGAATCTGAACAATATGACAATAAACATGACACAAGTGCAATAAACAATGCACAGATACAATAAATAAAAAATAGTAATATAAATGAAGACAAATAAAATAGATGAAAACATATAAAATAAATGAAAACATACAATAGATAAAAACAAGTAGAATATATAACATATGATAATAAAATGCACTATTACTAGCGATCGTGAAATACAGCATTAACAAATATAAACATAACAAAAACCAAGAGCGAATAAAGACATAATATAACAAATGACAAACACAACACAAACAAATACCACAAACAAACTTAAGCCAAAACAAAAGCAAATAAATCAACAACAAAGAATCCCAGCTCACCTTCCGCGCCTCGCCAACCGCCTGAGCAAGGGAGCTGTCGGTGCCATTCCCTCTGTCTCCGCCCACTTCCGTCTCAAACACGCCCACACCAAAGGGGGCGTGGCGATCCAGGCGCTTCTAAATTGGAGTTCAGGATATATTAAGAGAAGAGAATATTTAAACATGGGGATAATAGATCAGCACGGAAGCAAATAAGGAATCGAATTTTTTTACAGTTTAACGCATGGCATTTATCTATAATATGGATCAGTTCACTCATAATTAACAATTATCAATGATATTAATCAGTATGAACTTTCCAATTCTTAGTAGTATGAATTTGTTTACATATACTTAACAGTTATCAGTGGGTTGAATAAGTTTG